AATTAAATATTTGGCGGCGGCGCGGCGGCATCGAAAAAGTCAGCCCCCGGCGTAAGGGAGTATAAATCCGGCACTGCGAAGAGGAGTATCTTTATTTACTTTTGTACCCAAGTATTTCAAGAGAAATTTTCTTTTTTATTCACTTTTTTCAACCGATATGATTTTTTACAAAATTCTACATATATTGATGGAATAAATCGAATAGTTCGAACTTTTTTCTTTACACCAGTTATTTCGATACTAGAAAGGAAACTAAGGATTTCATGTTTACTAGAATCAATTTTTTCAATAAAAAAGCATTTTCCTCAGAAGGTAACTATATAATTTCTACTCCGTGCTAACCTTATTGAGCCGTGAATTCCTATGCCCCTCCCCATCAAACATCGTCTGGATCCGCCCCTGCTCTGATGTGTGTATCTCTCCACAAACTTGATTTCTTTATACGGAACTCACAGATTTCCTAATGAAGGTCAGAATGTCCGCTAATTATAGAAAATGGGGTAATCGTCCCAGCATTTCGGTTACTTGCCAAAATTACCTAATCCCAGTTTTCCACACGTTGACATATATTGGAGAAAGAATTGCGCCTATTGTAGAATGCAAGCACAAAACAGGAGTAGACCGCAAACACGTTGGGTCAGTGATAAATGACGAAAGATACGGTACCTATCTCATCTAGTTTTCATAAACATATACTGAACACCTAAACTCTCCTTATCGTTCCGATGGGCAGTACTACTTCTGAGGAGTGATGTGCAAAATGTCGCTTTTTGCTGCTGATACGGCAGCTCTTGCATATTTGAAAAATTTCGAGCATGCAGCAATGTACCTCCAAAGCGCGCTGAATTCTCTTCAGGAGTACTTCCTAAGATGGAAGATCAAATTGAATCCTGCAGAAACACAATTGGTCACACGCGTAAAGGAGCGGAGGCCTCCCAGAACCAGAATAGTCCTAAGGGAAATGCCTAGTAATTTCATGTATTGCTCCACAACAGCGTATCTCTTAATTTCGTACACCGCTGGTCTACAATAGTTTCAGGTATTTCCTGTAAGTACAGAAGGAAGGAAGGTTCATTGAGGCCGAGTCAGGTTAGGTTGTTTAGTAACAGTAGTATCTTTTGTTCTCTCACATAATTTTCCGAAAGATATACTCAAAGAAATTGATGGGTCGAATCAACCAAAAAGATCATATGAAAATTGGCCTATCTAGTCGAAAATTATATCAACCAAAGAACAATAGTCAAATATGTTTAGTCACCATAAGAATGGAATTGTTGATTCGATCAAGAAAATGTATTATCAAGCAGTTCTCTGTCTGACAACAAAATAAATTTTCAGGTTCTCGTACCACTAAATTGTATAAAATTAATTCATCCTCGTTAACATAGAATACAGATTTCGAATGAACATCATCGAGCTATGGACTTCTATCCTAGATTATCATCTAGTTTATTCATCACATCAAATTCTCGATATGTTGAATTTATAACAAAAAACAGAATAACCATATTTTAGTGTATCTACTTCTTCAACACGAGTAATATTGTGGAAAACCTATTTTCTCTTAATGTCAGTTGGAGGAGTCCGATCCCACCTTGAAAACATACCGACAATAAAGTTTTTACCATAACATTGTTCCATTTTTACCACAACAAAACCATCTAAGTTGAATGATGGCTAACTTTGAATAATATCTTTTTTTCGTCGTCCAAATAACCCCATGGTTGGGAATGACATTTTCATAGAAATATTCATTCACATTTTCCTCACAATTCAGCTTTGCCACAAGCTCCCAATCTATAGTTTTTCCATGAAATCACTTTGTTCAGTTTCCATCTACATATCTGAATAAATGTTGATTACAATATTGCGCTATTCTGCTAATCGTAAAGTAACGGGTACTGTCGTAAAACTCATATAGTTGGGCAAGGTCATAACTGATAAAAATAATCACGATGATGGTACAACTAGGTGTTAATGAAACAAAAGAAAGTGTTTTGTTGCTCTTCCAAGTGGACATACTTAAATCAATAATATTTAAACTTTTGAAAAGTTGACGATGATGAATGACTACTTCTGTTGAATGCGTGAGAAGTATTGTATATTTTTCAACTTCACTTAGTTGTCAAAAGGAATGGCCTCAACTTCTGTTGATTCATTCATTGTTATCAAAATAGGTATGTAGATCTATTTATAATTATATGAACCATTCTCTAAATCTCGTTCAATCCTCTCTACATTATTTGATACCACCATAATATGATATTTCCATACATTGTGTTCAGAATATACTGTGACCACCAAAACTTTGCCCCCCCCCCCTTCCCACGATCAAACTAATTCAAAAACAGGGTTTCCTTTTTAAATGAATTTATATCATATTTTCCATTATTCCAGAGTTCTTGGGATTTTCTCTCCTCGTTTCTATATGATAAAAATATGAATATTATTTCAATATACGTGTAGTAGGGACAAATCAGATGATTTGCCCCAAAATGTCACTGCGTTTTAAGAATTTCCCTATCAGAGAGCCTAAGGAAAAAATTCAGTAGTTTGTCATCAGTGACAATTTGTATTGAGAAAGCTCTGGAGGAGAGAATTAAAGGTAGATAGAAAAAATATCGAATTTTCACTTAGCTTTGGACGTTTCGAGAACGAATCTGCTCCCGTTATGTTGAAAACATTGATTCGCAGTGACTACTCTCCACAGCCTGTGTTATTGTCAATATCATTATCATTAACACTATCATTATTGTTTCAATCTCCATCATTATTATTATCATTTTGTGTGTTGAATTTGTATGGGGTTCTATGATTGCCATTTGGGATTGACAGAAGCTGGATCGATGATACTTGTTTTTTTTGTTATAATTTTTTTTCGGTGTAAGGAAATCAGTCTTATAACAATAAAATCGGAAATATTTATTATATGTATGCATACCTATATCATATTTTTATGTTTATGTATTTCCTACTCTATATACTCAACTTGTTCTCTCAACTCTTCCTCTTGTTGTGATTTAAAAGCTATCTGGCAATATCGATATCGATTAGAGTCATGATCTTATTATAGTCCATGATTAGAGCCATAAAGAATGATGCCAATGCCATATGAATATGAAAGCAGATAAATATTCAACTCTTCAATACCTAACCTTCAGCAATAAATAATCTCCGCAGCTAAAATTCAAATTAGATAGGTACCAATTAATCACTTTAATTCTCAATTTTGTGTTCGATAACAGATACAGTAGTTTGGCCAACTACACGGTAATGGTACACGGTAATTTTGCCAAAAATACCGACACGGTGAAAAGGTCAAGACTGTGTTCAAAAACAGAGTTCCAATGGAGAATAGTTTTATATTTCTGGTTGTGTATTTAAGGCTGATCAACCATCTGAATAGAAAATTGAATTTTATCACAGTTTCTTCGGAAAACGAAAACAGTACAATTTTTTTCTCCAACGCTCGAGATTGGTTTCCGCTTGAGTCAAACAATCAGAATAATATTTTTCTACTACTGCTATGAAAAGTAGCGCATTTCTCATAGCTAACTTAACCATGTATTGCCCATACTGTGAGAAAAATTTATATCTCCGATTGGCAGCAAATATTAATTTTGCTGACACATATCAATCAGAAAAGTATTACTTTTCTTGCCTAGGCAGCAAAGTGGGTACTTTGCTAATTGATTTGTATCAGCAAAATTAATAAACCATAAATCTTTTAAAATTTCCTTCATATTTCATCCGAGACTTCTCTGGCAACAAATTCAACTCTATATTTTTTGCCACCTCCCTCATTTCTGGAGGTGTAAGTACTCCCAGGTCGCTATCACTGTCCATCATATAATAATTCAAATATACCGATATTTTTTCGCACAACTGTCAGAAATTTCATGGATTGTCATAATATAATTATTATGGACATTTCCATAGCAACCAACCATTCCAACAACTGCGATTTCTATCAAGTTTTATTTTAATTGAACACCACAGGAAAAATAGAGAGAAAAAATTATATGTTCAACTCGGCAGCAAAGTAGATTGACTGCCTTAGCTGGATTCCTAGCCTCGCTACGCTCGGCTATGAATTCAGCCTTGGCAGTGAATATACAACTTTGCTGCCTAGTTAAACAAATAACTATTCTCACGGCACTTTGCTAACACCACATACATTTCCATGGAGAATCAACAAAAATCGACTGAAACTTGGCTGCTGTTCTGTTTTGAATAGTTGTCACAACTGTGAAGAAGTTTTTTAAATTCTTTAGGGTAGTCCTCATTAGTGTTTTTGATATAAATCGCATTTCCATCAAATATCGTTCCAACAATTCATAATAAATAATATAATGTATATACTGAGATGTGACGATTTTAACAAATACACCGACAGAGACAGAGATAATGAAGAAGCTGCGAAAGTTGGATTTGTTTCTGCAAATTTCAAGAAAAAAGAATGAATTGACATATTGGTACAAAAACTGTATGGAATCTGAAAAAATACAGAAATAAAATCTTTTTCGGAAAGTGTACTTTTTTGAAATACTTTGAGGAACTAGGAAAGGCGTCTACTCTTTAGTCACAATATTCAATGAAGCATAGTGCCACATTATAAAATGCATACCAATAAGTTACATCACTCGGATTCTTTGAATAAGTGCAGTTGTAGAAGAATTATAGTGTGCAACATGTGGGGAATAGCAAAGTTGAACTTTTCCCACTTGTTGCACAATATACTATTTTCTACATGTGAACAAACTGAGTTGATTTCAATGAGAGGAAATGGGAATGTAATTCTTGGAAGGTACGCACGATGTTCCACGAACATCATAGGAATCTCCTTTGGTGCGCCCCAAGAGATGAAAAAACAATTTGTGGCGTTACGTCTTGTCGATCATCCTTTCAATTGGTTACTGCAGGATGGACCATCCTGTTAATTCCATAATCTATACAATCCCTAATTCAATAATCCTTGAGCATAAACAATCTTTTTATAGGAAGAAGTATGGGGACCATACACATTTCCCTTAGCAACAGTTGGATTCGTGGTTCTCCTCCTGTTTCTCTTGGATTCAATGTGGAGTTTTCTTCAGACGTGCAGAGCTCTATTGGCACCACTGTTCATTCCAAATGAACAAACTTCTTTGTTGAAGAAATATGGACCTTGGGCATGTGAGTACATGGATATTGTTCACCTTGTTCTAACAGAGGAAGCATATGAAAATATGAGAAAACTAGAGAAGTGTGGTGATATTGTATGAATATTACTGAGAGAGATATTAAATATTGTTGTTCTAAAATTGCTCATTCGGTTGCCCCCTTACGAGCAACCCTAAGAAGTCTTCGAAAGTCTTGTGCGAGCAAGGAATGACGGGGGCCTCACCTTCCAACGTGTGATCCCAAACACTTTCTTGGGCCATCAGAAAAATTTCTGCAGTCGATGGGAATCGAACCCACGACTGGCAAGAGGATGCGGATTAGAATATAAACACTCTGTCCGCACGGCTACCTTGACTATTCAATGACAAAGATAAATTCTAATTGCATTATACATACTGATCAATCAATGTATGACATACCCCCCAAAAACAATAAAACTATAGTGGAACATCATTTCATAACGTGATTTTCACGTGGCCTTATATAGGTATATGTTCGTTTCTCAATATCTTATTATCCTTGTAAACTAAATATCTGTGTATTGTGGCTGTAGATGGCTGTTTGAGCCAAAACTAGTCACAAAAAATTCAATTTTTGTAACAAAATTTTGTGGTCGACCGACTTATTTTGTTTTTTCTTCGAAAAAATCTAGACCATGTATGGTTTCCATATGACTTTCATAATAACGAAGTCTTCAAACTTTGTATTATGTTTCAACTGTCTGCCTCTTGAAGATCGTTTGAAATCATTTGTCTTATCGGTAACAAAGCCAGACCTTCGTGGAGCGCTGTATATTCATACATACCTACTCACACTAGAAGGGGGCATTCTAGGCGACTTAGAATGGGAGATCCTGAATGAATTAGAAGGGGACATGGATGATTCAATTGACCTAAATTGACTAGAAGAATTTCTAGAAGACCACATGCTGGTAGAATCATTATTCTGGGATATGTTACTCGTATTCACTCTTGATGATTTCCCACAAGTACCTGAAATAGGATCATCTCAGGCAGACTCCGAATTTTCTACAAGTGGCTGAGTGGTACTTGACTTCTTCTCATGCCTTGATGAGTCAGGAAAAGGTGAATGTACTAGCTGATGATCAATAATAGTTTGCAAAGATCCAATTGGTTTCCTCTTCTGTAGATTCCTCCTTCTCGAGTTTCGACGCTATGACTGTTAGAAGAATCCTGATCCCGATAACTTTACTTGGAATCAATTTCCTAGGACCTATAGTTGAATGACTACAGATTTATTTTGGTTAAGAGGTATATCTGTGATCCCTCAGCGATATTATATCTTCTCATATCATCAAAATATTTCTCTTTGAGAATTTCCCATGTTTTATTAGTATCAAAGAGAGGTTTCAAATTATTTTTGTGCTGCGATGAATCACTATTAAATCTTCTACCATTCTACATTTCTTCGGGTGAAGCAAGATTTTGTTTTGGGGTCCTATTATACATTACTCGGAAATAGGGATTCGTGCCAGATTTTTTAATTCGATTCTTCATAATTATTCTGAATCTGAATATGTCGTCTATCCCACTCGATGGAGGGTAATTAAGACTCGATGAAGTGTGTCAAATATCCATTTATTTCATGAAATATTCCAATTCAAAAGAATCAAATGGATGTTCATTATTCTACATGATGAAAAAAAGTTACAATGTGATTTGAAAGTTGACAAGAAGACTTTCTAGAAGACGACATTCTGGTAGAAATGCATTTCCGAATGTTTGGAAACACAGTTTTATTATTCTTATTCTCAAGTCAGGAGAATTATAATTTTCAGAATCATGGAAGTGTTTGTAACCAGTCATCTATTCCAAAATTACTAGACAGTTTGATTTCAGACCAGCTCAATTTTTTTTTGCAGAGAAACCTTCAGGAATAATCAGCGATAATCAGCATGGCTTTTCTAGAAACAAATCAACTATTTCCAATCTTCTCGTATATGAGCAAAAAATATTGAACGTTTTGGAAGGTAGATGTCAAATGGATGCCATTTACACTACCTTCTCTGAAGCATTCGATAGAGTAGATCACCATACTTTATTGAGAAAGATTGGTAATTTTGGTTTCTCGGAACATCTAGTGAATTGGTTTCGAAGTTATTTGACGGGTCGTACACAACGAGGGGGAATACAAATCGAGAAATATTTTTGGGACTTCTGGGGCACAGATTAATCTGGGGTCCCTCAAGGATCGTACTGTTCACCACTCCTATTCAATATTTTTGTGAATGATATTAGTAGCTGTTTCATCAACTGCGATTTCGTTATGTTTGCTGATGACTTGGAGTTATTCAGGCCTATCAACTCTATGGGTGACCAAGTTCTCCTTCAAGCAGATCTCAATAGAATGTATGAAATGTGTGTTATTAAAAAATTGTATCTCAATGTCAATGAAAGCTACTTTATCTCGTTCTCGAAAGTCGGAAAAAAATTTGATATTTCCTACAACATTAAAAATCAACAAGTAGAAAACACATCTCTAATATCCAAAATTCTTCTGTCTCGGTAACGATATTAGTGGTCGAACTCCTCCGAAAGGGCTCGACCGATTCGTATGAAGTTGCGTATTTGGTAGGTATGAGAATCGGTCGTAATCTATTTTTCAAATCGATAATTCAAGATGGCGGATCCAATATGGCGGACGAGTATTGTTATCCGATTTCATTCAAAATTGGTTTTTTGGGGTTATCGGGGTCGGAGATTATGATTCTTTCGTCAAATTTTGGAAATTCGAGATGGCGGATCCAATATGGCGGACGAGTTTTGTAATTATGGTCAGATTATTCCATTCAAAATCAGTATCTGGGGGTTTTCGAGGTCGGAGATTATGATTGCTTCATCAAAATTAGGAAATTCAAAATGGCGGATCCAATTTATTATTTCTATTCTCAATTTCAGAGGATTTTGATTTTCCATGCTCTTTTCTTGGATATTCAACAGATATAATTCAATGTTCGACATGTCAAATAGCCTGGAAAGTAGTTGTTTTCTGTTGAATATTCAGAATGATATTATGTGCATATCTATATATGAAGGAGATTGCGAATTCCCTACTTCAGAAGAGTTTTTTCCAATTTATTATTGTGTTTCCAATAGATATAATGCAATATCCGTCGTGGCTTATAGCCAGGAAAGTTGTTGTTTTCTGTTGAATTAACCGAGAAAGAATTAATATTTTCATCACATGAAGAATGCGAATTCTCGATGTATTTCTACATATTATATACAGTATGATGCAAATGTATGGAATAAATTCATTTCAAAACAAGACGACTTCCGAAAAAAAAACCAAAAAGTAGAGTTCAGAACTTTTTTATCGATGTATTTTTTCAACTAGACGTCCCTTCGATGTTCAATTCTCAGTAGAAGATCTCTGCAAGATTCAGTTAACCAAATGATAATCTATTTTGATTTCAATCTTCTTTTGCAAAATTTTGACTATTGGATAGACGATCAGTAGATCTTTCAAACGAGGTGTCACATGAGCCCTGTTTGTATTTAAAAAAACCGTCCATTACGTCATTACTCCAACACCAGTGACGTAACATCTCTCATATGAATGTCATGAGATGAGGTTTCAAAAATTAAAACTCACGTGTTTTTGGAATTTCTTCAAATGTCGCCCATTTCTGGAATAATGAATTCATTCCATATACATTTGCATTATACTGTATATTAAATGAATGTTTTTATATGCAGGAATGTTCAGATATTTTGGAAAATGTACAGTGACCTTCGAATATCGAAGAGATGTATTCGAAACATCAATGATATGTGGAGATTTTAATTGTATTCCCATTTTATTACCTATAAAAATATTATCACTATATGTCGGTGTATATTAGGTGCGATATCATATAATGTCTTCAAACTTTCTACCATAAATTTGTCATTATTTTGTATAATTGCATTCAGATTCCTCTGTAATCACAGTAATTTCTTCAAAATGAAAAGTCATTAGTGATCGCGTGAACAATTTCTATGTCTAAAGATACCGGTTGTTATTTCATTATCATTACCAGAACACTGGCATTGAGTCATAAGGTATTATACAATATTGGCAAGCTCTTATAGGTAACACCTCTATCACGAAATCGTTCCATTGGAAATAGTATAGTCGTGATCACATTTCATCAAAAATAATGAGGTGACTTTGAAAAAAAATTAATACTGTTCGTTTGTGTTAGCTCTACCTACTAAACTTTATATTTTTATATGACTTTTACTGTTTACAATATACTATGAACTGAGTTTTTCTGCAACCGACACAAAAGTCGTCCATTTTGATACCAAAATTAGCTCTTAAATTGACGTTTCTATTACTGACACAAAAATAGGTATGTTGCTAGGCAACATATTTAGTTCTTAGGAGCTAAAGTTGAATTTTAGTTCCAAGGAGCAAAAGTTGAACTTTAGGTCCTAGGAACTAAAAAGGATGTACTGGACGTCATCAAGAATAAACAACATTGTGACGGTTGGTTATTTGGGTTGAGGCGCTGATTTGTTTCCGCTTTCAGCAGATTTATCATTTCATCCCAATGCTGGAGTTATAAATACACCGTATTATAGTTTAGTATTGAAATCATAAACATCCAGTTAAGTATTTTTAAATACTGTCTGTAGGTTAATCGAGGAGGTGGTACATTCATTATTCCAAATTTTTTGGGATTTTATCTCCTCGTTTCTATAAAATAAGAATATGAATATTATTTCAATAAACGTGTAGTAAGGACAAATCAGATGATTTGCCCCAAAATGTCACTGCGTTTGAAGAATTTTCCTATCAGAGAGCCTAAAAGAAAAATTCACTAGCTTGTCAGTGACAATTTGTATTGAAAAAATTTTTGGAGAAGGGAAATAAAGGTATATAGAAAAAATATCAAATTTTCACTTATCTTTGGACGTTTCGGGACCGGTTCTGCTCCCGTTTTCAACATGAGAAGAGATTATTTCAATAGCGAAGTCGTATAATGTCTTGAAGCTTTTCAGTTT